CAAACCGTTGGGAAGTGAGGGATACCGTGAAAAGGATGGTCTGCCGTACTGTGACTTTGACTATCACGCCCTCTTCTCGCCCAAGTGTGGGGCGTGTCAGGCGCCCATTCGGGAGGTATGTGTTCATCATTACTTCATTAGTTATAATGTAATTACTAATCAAAATGAACGCCAATTAACAGAAATGTTTGACTGCGATGGGCAGAACGTGGCACCCTGAACATTTCCTAACGGTTGTGACATTATTTGTCAACTCACTGCTAGGCCTCCCAATAGTGCTTGTGTTGCTGTTCAGAATAACGTCCGGGACAATATATCTCGAGAAGCGAGGCATAACAGCGCGGACATTATTTGGCTTTGTTGAGAAGATATGTGTGACAGCATTGGACGCCAAATGGCATCCCGACTGCTTTGTCTGCAGAGTATGTCTTCTTTATTATATTTACAAACTTTTGATTTCGTTTTTGGTGTAAATGAAGCGTAAATTCTTGATATGATTTGTTTTGCATANAATAAACCGATTGTTGAGAAGATATGTGTGACAGCATTGGACGCCAAATGGCATCCCGACTGCTTTGTCTGCAGAGTATGTCTTCTTTATTATATTTACAAACTTTTGATTTCGTTTTTGGTGTAAATGAAGCGTAAATTCTTGATATGATTTGTTTTGCATAAGTATTACGTGAAATACAAAATTCATGAGAAGAGCACAAATCTATATTATATTTTATACTCACTAAAAATATATGTTTCTCTATATAGGACTGTCACTGTCCGCTCAAAACTGGCAATTACTTTGAGTTTGAAGGCGAGCCGTATTGTGAGGACCACTACAGGTGTAAGATGTGTCCCGATTGCGTCAAATTAAGACGAGCCCAAAACAAATACTTCGGACAATCGCCTGAAATTAAATTAGGCGCTTAATAGAAGATATTTATTCTTCAAATTCTATATAACTTTCCATTAAATACAATGTTTAGATATTTTTTATATAATTTTACTTTAATATTGGAAATCAGGCATTTTTACATTTATACTTTTAATTATAATACTGTGGGAATATTTAATTAACTATTTAACTTTAAACAATTTTGTATTAATTCACTTCTAATTGAACCAAAAAAATCTGTAATAATTGGTATAAAATAAACATATTTTTTAACAAATATTTTATTCATAAACAATATTATTAACTTAAAACATGATTTTGTTCATAATTGCTTTTAAATTTTAAATAGTATTTGTCTTATCTGTGATTTTAAAAAATAATTTTATAAATTTAGAAAATAATTTTATGGTTTTCAAGATTTTATTAAAAATTAATTCAGTGATGTGTTTGACTTTAAAATAACAGCACATAATATGTCAAATAAAAAAATCTACCTACACTAAGAATTTTATATATCTACATAAGGGATCCTATGGAAATGAGTCAAAAGTATCTACATAAAAGTTAAATTTATAGCAAAACAATAAAATTAAAGAAATTTTTTAAAGTATTTGCAAAATAATCATTGCAATTATTAATTATAATCAATTTGTAATTTAATCTTATTGTATTTTAGACCAATTATTAGAAAAATTTGTAGACAAATTGTAGACAAATTAGTGTTAGGTCTATGGAAGATGTTGGTA